CCAAAATAATTTACAACCATTTATTGATATTCCCGTTCGCCTGTCTTTGAAAACTAAGCTCTCCTAACAAAACAACGAAGGCGTTAATTTAGTTTGATTGCAGGTATTGTATTTTTAAGGGTCAAAAAGTCATAAGTGTTGATAGAGGAAACATTTTGAGAAGAGGAGGTTTACGATTTATCAAAACATCTTTTGAATTCTACAAAATCCAAATACCATTGATTCCACTTCTTGTGTTTCCAGTGTCACAATACGGCTGCCATTCTGATTCAGTGGTACTGAGAAAGGTAACAAAAATGGAAGTGAGAGGTATTGATAGATACCTGGTATAGACACAAGAAGAGCCAGCGATAAACCGTTGGTTATTTGGACTATTGTAACACTAGCCAACTGGAGTTAACAAGCTTGTGCACTGGATATCTCTTTATCATAATCCGTCTGTTTCGCAACACTAAATACATATCGTGAATAACCTGTAATTCCGTGCTTATATAAAATCAATTTCATTTCAAATACATGAGTGTAAATATATCTAATTAAAGAGCAAGAATTTGTAAACTTATTAGTACATGTATATATATATATCCATTGGTGGTTCAAAATTTAAAATACTCTGTTCTTGTTCTATAGACATACTCATCGATTGTTCATTTATTGATTAACAGTATTCCATGATAATCTATTGAATGGCGGTTTTTAATAAGTTTTAGCATAATAATTAGTAGATGATAGTGTAATAACACGAATTATTTATTAAAGTTCATTTATAGATCAGAATTATTTTGTTATATGTATATTACGTATTAATATACATATGGTTGATCTCTACTTAAGTCTATTGAGAACGATTTGTTATACGTTTGCTCCGGTTAAATGTTACCGGTCTGAACCCTAGTTCTGGAAAACTGTGGCTGGCATGGCCTGAGGGTGTGTGTACTGCATAAAAATTGGGTCCGATGTACAGATCACATAGACACTGAGACCTTATGTCTAGAACATCAACAGTCATACATGTACTTCAATGTTTCTCATTTCGTACCTAGACAGGGGGAGATAGACCCCAGATCAGCGTCCATGGCTAAAAGGGTTTCTGACCCCAAATGCATCCCAGACCCACCAATGATATGTAATCTACACATACAGGTTCACAATTCTAAAAGTGTCCTCGTACGTTCGAACTTACTATTAACGCATACCTGAAAATTAGGATTATTACTATATAGTGTATTTATAGACAATAAACTGTGTTGTACTTTCACTTTTATTAGGAAAGAATGAATGTGATGACAATTTACCTTTTTTCTGTTTAAAACATGAACTCTTTTGCTACAAATATAGTGTGGTTTTCCCCATTGACTTAATTTATAAAGACGTATTGTTTGTGAATCAAATAGAGTCCACTCCAGCAGTTGCAATTTTATCTCTTTTTACGGAAAAATTATGTCGATAAAATAAGGTTATCTTTTTCACTGAACATAAAGTTCAGTGGTACCCCAGACCAGAAACGCTTGACTCGTTTTAGACACCTTTATGATTACCACACACAGAAAGCGCACTCGATTAGCAGACGTATTGTAACAAAGAGGTACACTATATTTCTCACGATATCCGCTTGTGACCTTCATTAATACCAAATAGATTTCTAATATAACAATTTGAAGAACATAAAGGAATCTTTATCATGGCTTTCCTATTGATAATAGAAAAAATAATCATTTCATAAACAATTTGATATTTAGAAGTTTGTTACGTATTAAGGCTACTCATGGATTACATAACTCATAATAGATAGCTTATTTTTTAATAACAGAAAACATCAAAGGAAGAAGTTAAATACCCTCGAAATAAGTGTTGGAAAGTGTTGGATCAGTGTTTCAAAGCTGGATATTAATCTACACCAATAACACACTGTTGTGAAATGAAATTGTGCCTTGGCTGGTATTCACTAACCGATGGATAGCCACAGTATCCGACCTGTGTACAGGTTTAGCCGTATAAAGCTATATCTGATGGACAGACAATGGGTTTCGTTACCTGACATGTGATTAAATGCCTACACAAAAGGAAAACATTGATATGTTATAACCCATTCGAATACCACAGTTAAATGGTCTAACGGTCATCACTGCCTATATTCGAAGGTAGATAGCAGTGGATGGAGACGTTGCACTAGCAACCTTGGATTCTGCCACTGGCATTGTGTTGCATCATTTGTTATTAAAATTAAAAACGATTTGTGTATGACCTATTAGTTCCCAACCATTGAGTTGGTCATAATTAATCAAAGGACAGGTCATTACCGAAGGCCAGCTGTAAACCTGACATTTTGATTATCCTTTAGCTGCTGGTGTTGAAGAAACACGGTAGGGGCATGGTTGATGGGGCTGTTTATTTCCGTATACATAGCAATGAAATTGAAATTCATCTTTCTCTTAGGATATTTGTTTTTAACTAAGAACTCCTCATCAATTTTTGCTTTATCTGTCATCTATATATCCTTACATATAATAGTATTCCGGAATAATATATTTCCTTGGTTTGTTTATATAAATATTTTTGATTTACCAAAACATATACTGTTTTCTCTATGATGGATCTTTTAAATTGGACACGTTGGAAATATTTGGTGGTGAACAAGTGGATGCACTTTAGTCATTGCATTTCAAAACACAAGAAAAGGTGGGGGGGGGGGGTTAAAGTAAGAAAAGTAGGAAACTTTCACAAATGAAATATCACCATGTTACTAATATCTATGCCGATATGCATGCTTATAATAAAATGCCTTTTATGTACAATCAGCGCATAAACATTGGATATACACATAACAATTGATAAAACAATGAAATGGCTTAACTTTAACGATTAAAACAGATACTTTCCTTGAATTAAAATTACCAACAAATCAATCTTCATATATTAAACTATAGTTTTGGAGGAAAATGCCATTTTATTTTGTTAAGTTAACTTTAATAAGCATGAAAACAAATCAGGATCTGGAACTCACTTCATCCAAAGGTGCTGAACACATATTAAATGATATATATAATATACAATATTAACTATAACTATCTCATACTTATAGAATAAAAAAGGTATAGAGAGGTTTCGAAATTGCCAAGTTTGAGATGTGTCCAGAAGCCATAACTCAGTATAAAACAAGTGTGTGTAATGAATATGCATTTTATGTAAGTGTTATCAAATGAGTAAAGTTGTAAACTTCAACTCAAAATATAAAATATAAAGGAAATTATTGAGAACACAAAACTCTTTTCATTTGAAATTTACCGAAAAGAATTCCCTGACTTAATCCTCCATTTTATATTAACAGTCTTCAAGTGACAATTACATTTCTGTCATTTCTCATTCTTTTATTTATGCCTGTTTACCTTATACATGTTTTTAAAAACAGAAATGGTATTATTTTGGTTGTTTTAACTCATTTTAAAATCAGCAAATCATATTTGTGATTTACCCAACCCCTTTTGTCCCCAAAAAACACTTTCGTTCAGACGTTCGCCTTAGTTTTTGCGCATGTAATACAATAGGACATCTTTATACAAATTAAAGAGGTAAAAATACGGATATACCGGGGCCCACAAAAGACCTTATAGACACTCATCCTTTGTACTTCATTCTATTAAACTGGGGTTTACACTGTAGTACACTAGAGTTAACACTATAGTGCACTGGAATGCGTTACAATGTATATCTAGTGCACAAACTTGTTCAGTACGTGTGCACTACAAAGTACACTAGATAACCAATTAAGTTATCTCCCTATTGAAAATGGTTAATGTAAAGCAGGGGATAACGGCTACAATTTGTACGTCACGGCCCACGGACAGAACCCATTGCCATTCCAACCTGGTTGAAAGTTCCCAAACAGGGCAAATGTGAAGTATTGCCATACGAGGAACTAGATAGAACATATCAATATCTCAAATGATGCAATTCTGTAGTTGTATTTTTGTCGCTTTAGTGTCCCCAAATAGAGGCCACAAAGCCAACACCAGTTGCCTCTTACAACACACAGGGGGTACATACCAGCAGGTAGATTCTCAATCCCGGGGAGCATAAGTAATATAGTGTCTTTTTCCTTGAAAGAGCCTAACAAATGGCATACTTTGAATAGTACCTTATGTCAGTGCCCTTTAGTAATCCTTGGCTTCTTGCATCTTCCACTGCTATGGTGAATGCGCTTGCAGTCCGTTGATACGCCAGTCTGGGACGCTCTCTCCCATATCATACCTATATTAACATTATGTCCGTCTGTTTGACTACCGATTAATGTATAAAATAATAATAAATTCCGCATATTTAATTTAATACCTTTCACATTGTAGCAGTTTTTATCACTTTTGTATGTATTTTTTCTCATAATTGTTCTTTAAGCCAATATTCCGTGTACACGGATCCTATAAGTCGAAACCGTGGTAAAATCATTAAACAGTCATGTCAATGATCGCGGTAAACAGCATTAAATAGCTAGCTCATTGTTAATAGCATACTATAGATAGGAGATTATACACAACGTTTTGTTGGGGGTTGAATGTCTGCCTGAAGCACACCTGCGTAATATTATACACAATGACCACGTTAAATAACATAAGATGTTGATCAGATGCTAAATATTATATACCAAACCAATATGGTGATATATGTACATGGTATGATATTTCAATTTGTATTAGCATTACTCCCATCGTTAGTTGAACATAAGGCAAACATTTGATTGCACATATAGATGTTGGTCATGAATTAAGTATGCCAAAAAAGAATTACACTGTAATAATTTTGCCTTTACATAAGATGCAATCGTTTTCAGTAACATTTTGCATCATAAATAAAAATGAGCGAAATTTACATCACATGCATACAGCTGTTGTTGTTACTGATTAACCGTCGTCGTCATTAGCTAGGTCCATCCATCGTAGAGGTTTTCAACCCCTAACCTGGAACTCTCTCCGGATGGTGGGTCAGCAGGGGTGACCAGTCCCTACTCTCCGACGGTTGGCTTCCAGCTACTGTCTCCTCTCCGCATCAACAGCCATCGTGATGCCCGTTCCGCTTCGTTCCCAAACTCTCTCACTGCCGTCTTCCTTACTCCTCCCGTAATACCAAGGGATCCGAGCATCCTCCAGCATGATTGGGCCGGGAATCCTTTGCAGTCTACTTCCACAGGAAAGTTCCATGACTGCCAGCCTTTTCTGCCACACTCCTCTGTCAGCTCCGCATACTTGCTCTTCTTTCGTTCGTGCGCTGATTCACATCTTGTCTCCCACGGCACAGTCAGTTCCACTATCACTAGTTTCTTCTTACTGGGTGATACATGTAACAACACTATGTCTGGTCGTAGTGCTGTCTCCAGGATTGACATTCCTTGCTGTTCCCGATGGTGTCTATCCCTCTCTATGGAACCGAATGAACGTTGGTCCCCTTTGTGTTCCATATGTTTTCTTCCTTTCCCTCTCTTTTTGATTTTGAGCAAGTTGCCCTAACATCTGGTCATGTCTCAAAGTGTATCGGCCCTGTGCTAGCGCTACCTCACAGGAAGAGAGAATATGTTCCAGATTTCCGGGTCTTCCACATTGGTGATATGTGGGAACTTCCACCAAACCCCCAAAACAGCCCTGAGAATGAACTGTAGCTGCTATGGTGTGTATCTCCAGATCTCTGCCAATGTCATCTTCCCCTCTTCCGTCTCCCATTGGGTCCATGCCCCTTGACTCCCCATCTCCATTGCTTTCACCTTCCTTCCATTCTCTTTCTGTTGCCTGATCTCTTCCTACACTTGCTTTCTCTTCTCTGCTGCATTAGCATCTTTCCATTTCGCCGACTGCCCTCTTCCTAATCATTGCCTTCCGCTGCACACTGTCCCCACAATGTCCTTGTGCCGGAGTCTGCTCTCTGCCTCTGTAACTGCCTTGCTGGCTGACTACTTCCTTCCGGTTTTCACCTCAACTCCTGCTTTCCTGACTTTCTCATCCCTGGAGTCTTTTATTGTCATGATCAGTCGTGCCTTTTCAGTCTTGAATTCTTTCACTACAGATGTTAGTGGGAGCTACAGTTTGGATGTCCTACTATACAGTCCAGTTGAAGAGAAGCACTGAGGAACTCAAAGCCATCTTCTCAGATTGTGTTGATTTTCCTTTAGATTCCCTCTACAGTCGTTAGGGTAATCTCGTACAGCATCAGTGGCCAGGACAGTCGTGGCAGTAGACCATGATGGAATATCCATGTCTTGAACTTTCCTGTCAGACATGTCTTGTCGATGTTCCTCAATCCTTCACAAACCTGCTGCTCTAGCTTGTTACTGTTGTTAGTGTCCTTCAATCTGTCATAAACCATTTTCTAAGGCACTTGATTGGGTTACTCACAATAGATGGAATCTTCTCTCACTGGATAAGAAGGCGGAATTGTCTCGTCACACGACCGTTTTTCAGGATGAGACATCTGGATTTAGCTGACGAACTTCATTCTAGACCAGGATACAGTATCCTCCAGTGCTGTCAGTATCCACCTTGCTTCGAATGTGTTGTTGCTGGGATCGTTAGATCATCCATGAATCCTCTGCTCGGTGGCTGCCTGATGTTTGTTCTGGATAGTGGGCCCCTCGTCTCCCTTTTCCCTGCCTCAATGATCATGTTCATTGCCATCACGAAAAGCATTACCGAAATTGTACATCCCGTGACAATTCCCTTTCTCCAAGAAAGCTGGGTCAACGTCCCGAGGCTGGGTACATTGGTGCTCAGTACATATGTGATCATTTCGGGGGTGTGATTGTCGCGCGCTGGGCGTCAACGTAGCAGAAAGCTTTCACAGTAGCTCCAATTTGAGCCAACCTGTTTGCCGTGGGCTGCGTCTCATATTCCAGGGGGAAAAAGATCCTGGTGGTTGAGCAGAGGTCGGAATCACGGATGAACTCTGGATTGGAGGGAGACATGATCCGACTTTCTGCAACATACTACATTGGCTTCGGACTATGGGTAGTCGAGAGGTGGTATGGGCTCTCTATCACCAATCGGCTGGTCACGCCGAGCCCTTGGTTTACATACTTCCAAGAAGGCGGTGGCTTAGGGTCAATCGCGAGGGTATGCTCTTCCGGGTAATATATATACTCGTTATGTATACTTTTACGAGTATACTACTTTGTGTATCCCTGACACTTTGGCGCTGGATATCCGCGCTGATATTAGTGTCCCCTCGTTGGGCTCCGTGGCGGGCGGGGACACAGACAGTGAACTAATTAATAAACATAAATGGGTAATGAAAAAAACACAGAAAAACACCCTACAACTACCACATTCCCACAATTCATCATCATGTCGTCAACCACTAGTGGAAAAACTGCAGCAACATTGTCTCCTCTTCTGTTGAGGAAGGGTATAAAAGGAAAAGCTGGGATCGTAAAGTCCGTCAAACCTTTGGGATCTGGCGATCTCCTAATCGAAGTTTTTCGCAAACAACAGGCGATTAACCTACTGGGTACCACCAGTTTTGGAGGTATCAGTGTTATAGTGAAAGCACATCCATCACTAAGCAGCAGCAAGGGGGTAATCAGATGCCCCGCCCTGCGCAATGACGTTGATGCCGCCATACTGGAATACTTCCTGGAGGAGGAGATCCCAGTCTCTGATGTGCGACGGATTTTGTCCAAGAAGAACAACAAGTTGGTTCCAACAGACACGTTTGTACTGACCTTTGCTACCCCATCACTACCTTCGACCGTAATGATTGGTTACCAAAGGTGCAGTGTCTCCGTCTACATCCCCTTAATCCATTAAGATGCCGTAACTGCCAGAAGCACGGGCATCATGAAAAAAAGATGTAGGCGGAAGACCGTTTGCCAGTACTGTAGTCGTGAAGGTCATGAGGACCAAAGCGACTGTGATATTGCCAACCTGCGTTGTGTCAATTATGACGGAAAAGCATGCTGCGTCGTCTCGAGACTGTCCTGCCTGGAATCGCGAGAGAGAGATATTGCGGGTCAAATATACCCGAAATGTCTCCTTTCCCGAGGCTAGGAGGATAGTGGAGAGCACGGACGTGGCTGCTCCCTCATATGCACAAGTGACGAAAGTCCGGTCGCCGGTTGACAACGTCGCAGTCAAGGATGCTTCGGGTCAAGTATCTGCAGACATACCTGCCTGGGGCTCACAAGTCCCAGACATGACTGGCCAACAGGAATTGAAAATCCTCACGGGAGACCCATCCTGTTTCACGACTATACGAAAACCAACCAAAAACAACAAACAGTCAAAAGTAGCATCACCATCAAAAACAGCATCTTCATCAAAACCAGCATCTTCATCAAAACCTGCACCAAAATCAAAACCAGCACCACCATCAAAACCAGCAACACCATCAAAAACACCTTCCTCTTCAGGAGAAAACCCTCCAAAGGTTGGCCCATCTAGGGCACATGTGCGTGCGCAGCGATCTCGCTCACTCACATCTGTTCTTCGATCCCAACTGAGGCCAGAGGCAACATCACCAACCAACAGACATAAGAAAAAAATTAAAATAGCGAGGGGCAAATCTGATGGACCCGATCTGAATGTCACCTTTGGCAAAGGATCAGAGAACCCGACAAACCGGTTCAATGTCCTACTAGGTTTCGATGATGAGATGGAGACGAATGCCTCAGCGCTTCGTGCTTCGACTCCATCGAAATTCAGCCAAAACAGCAAAAAATAAGACTCACTTCTATTGCCCAAAAGACAATTCCAAAATCCGCTCCAAAACCTACGAAGTTCCTTTTATCTGAAGAATCTTTTAAAACACGCAGTAATCGGGCAACTGCTCTAAGACGCTACTTTAATTGCCCAACTGCTTCAAACTACAGTGAATTTAAAGTTTGGCGGGCAAAGGCTCGGCGATCAATTAAAATTGCTGGAGAGAATATGTATCCAAGATATCATCAAACACGTCCTCAAAAAACGTATGGGATATGATTCGGAAAATAAGTGGGAAAAAGAAAAAGGCAACATCCTCCAACCTCATTAATAAAAACAAAAAAAAATCTTCTATGACTATAATTGCTGAAGCATTTCCAAAAAACATAGCTAAAAACTCATCCCCTTTAAACCACTCCCGAAAATTCCAGTTTTTAAAAAAAAAGAGAGAGAAAAGAAATGGCTCAATTTCAAATCATCAAACAAAGAAAGTTATACTGAACAATTTACCCTACCAGAACTTGTTGATTCACTTAGAAAATCACAGGACACTCCTTCAGGTCCTGATGATATTCCATATCAATTTCTAAAGCACTTACCGGACTCGTCACTAACATGCCTTCTTTACATATTCAATCAAGTTTACGCTTCCGGAAAGATTCCCGATTCGTGGAAGAACTCCACAATTATACCTATCCCAAAACCGGGAAATGATGCTATTGACCCAAACAACTATCGTCCTATCTCTGACCAATTGTGTATGTAAAACTTTAGAACGAATGATATACACTAGACTGGTTTGGTTTCTTGAGGCCAACGATATAATATCCCCTCTTCAAACAGGTTTTAGAAATAGAAGAGGGACAAATGACCATCTCATCAGATTAGAGACGTTCATTCGAGAGGCTTTCGCCAAGAAAGAACACCTTGTCGCTGTGTTCTTCGATCTTGAGAAGGCCTATGATACTACATGGCAGTATGGCATCATGAAAGATCTTCACGACCTTGGCGTACGTGGAAACCTTCCCAATTTTATATCTAATTACCTATCAGATAGACACTTCAAAGTCCGTGTTGGTTCAACTTTTTCTGAAACGTCTAAACAGGAAATGGGAGTCCCACAGGGTGGAATCCTATCAGTCACACTGTTTGGTCTTAAAATCAATGATATAGTCAAATGTCTTGGTCAATCAACAGAAGGGTCGTTATTTGTGGATGACTTCTTGATCTGTTACAGATCTAAGAACATGCACACGATAGAACGACAACTTCAACAGAGTTTAAACAAACTACAAAATTGGGCAGACGAAAACGGCTTCAAATTCTCTAAATCCAAAACTGTGTGCATGCATTTCTGTCAAAAACGAAAAGCACACAATGACCCAAATCTAACACTCGATGGCACTAGAATTCCTGTTGTTGAACAGACTAAATTTCTCGGCCTCATTTTTGATTCGAAACTCTCTTTCATACCACATATAAAGTATCTGAAGGATAAGTGTTCCAAGGCGTTAAACATTATACGAGTCCTTTCTCATACTGATTGGGGAGCTGACCGTGAAATGCTGTTGCGGCTATACAGATCACTTATTCGAACAAAACTTGATTATGGTTCTATGGTATACGGGTCGGCGCGCAGTTCGTACCTTCAGATGCTAGACCCAATCCATAACCAGGGGCTACGTCTAGCCCTTGGAGCTTTTCGAACAACACCTGTAAAAAGCCTGTACGTGGAAGCAAATGAACCACCCTTTATGACAGAAGAAAAAAACTTTCATTACAATTTGCAGCTCAATTAAAATTAACCCTAAAAATCCTGCTTTCGACCAAGTATTTAACCCAAAATACCAAAACATATTTACGCAAAACCAAAAACTTCTGCCAACATCTGGTATCCGAATTTCGAGTTTCCTGCAAGATCTCAACATAAAGTTGACGGACATAGCTGAATTTAACATATCTGATGTTCCTCCGTGGACCATTCAAACCCCTGATTTTAACTTTACATTACATGAGCGAGGGAAATCAAGTGTTATGCCCGAAGAACACAAATCCTCCTTTCGGGAATGCATTTCGAATTACCCTTCTCATACACAACTTTACACCGATGGTTCCAAAGAAGGTGAGAAAGTGGCAACAGCCTGCTGTACTGCTAATACTTGCACTTCAGTCCGACTACCAGACGGCGCGTCCATCCTTTCTGCTGAAGCATGCGCCATTGGTTTGGCACTCGACCATATTGATGAACACCGCATTAAAAAGGCAATTATTTGTTCAGATTCTCTATCTGTCCTACAGAGTTTACAGTTACGAGATCCTAAAAACAGACTAGTACAAAACCTTGCTCTTCGAATATCTCGTATCTTAAAAAAGTCTAAAATAACTTTACTATGGATTCCGAGCCATGTCGGAATTAAAGGCAACGCATTTGCTCACAGGGAAGCAAAAAAAGCATTGAATCTCGAACAAACAAATATCAAACTACCATACACAGATTTTAAACCTGCTATTCGTACAGCCATTCAAAATGAATGGCAGAAACGCTGGTCTCTGGAGACCAACAACAAACTTTTTAAGATACAACTGAAACTTAAAACATCTATTCCCAGTCGGAAAGATCGTAGAGAGGAAGTTGTCCTCGCTCGGCTCCGTACTGGGCACACATATCCTACCCATTCGTACCTTTTAAAACGAGAAGATATACCTTCATGCCACGCATGTGACACTCCATATACGTGGAACATTTTTTAATAGAATGTTCCGATTTTAAACACATTCGTGATAACTACTTCCGAGTCCCGGATATGAAAACACTTTTCAGTTCCGTGGATTCGAAGGCATTATTTAACTATTTGAAAGACATCGGTCTATTTTATAGACTCTGATGTCTTTTAACCCACCTTACCCTTTTTGACGTTATGTATATATCACATATTCTATATCATCTATTCGTCATCTCTTTTATTATTTTAACTCCCTTTTATTATTTTTTATTATCTACACATACAATGCGAATACTTTTAAAAATGAACCATTTTATCTGATTTTATCTTCGCTATTCACATGTTTGTTAAAAAAGTAAAATAAATAAATAAATCACCATGGCCCTAAATGACCACAGCCGTCGATGGGCCGTTAAACATAAACAAACAAACAAATCTTGGGAGTGTGTTTTCTTGTTTGCAGTGTTGTCGTATATATTCAGAAAGAATAACTATACAATGACGCTTCAGCGACTCGTCATAGGTTCGCTGCGGCCATTGTTTGGAAAAAATGCTGCTACTGGATGGCAGCTACTAGATGATACATAAGCTTTTCTCTGCAGAATCCCATGCCATCTGTCTTATCCTTGGACACATTAAAATGATGTACCACACTCAATTACCTATTCTAACTTCAAGTGTGTTCTACAGTGTTCGCGAGAGAAAATTGAATATTATATCGTAATATTGGCGAAATTCAACACTAACACTAAAGCCAAATGTTAAATATTGAAAAAATAGTTAGAAGTAGAGAGAAAATATAAGGATCCGAAATGGTGCAATGTGTGAAGCAGATTGGTTTTGGTTGCTGTTGTGTTCTCCTGTAGAGGGCATAACATGATATACTCTATTCCGCAGGGGGCGGGGGGGGGGGGGGGCATATTATTTGATTATTTGAACATGCAGTTCTGAACGATCGTTGCTAAACTTCAGCATTAAATGTAATCGCAACAACTTGTTAAGCCGTTGTCAGTATAATGTGACAGGGTAAATTACTGTGCTACACTGTAATTGCCTCCTGCAAAGTATTCCAGTGAGGTAGCAGTGTAAAAGTCGGTATCAGATCCACGCTAACGTAACAAGGCAAAAACACTAACAAACCGATTCCATTACATGTACAAACGTATATATTACTCACATGGAGGAACGTCCTTAAATGAGCTTTACTGCTGATGGGACGTTAGAAACTATACACCCAAACTAAAGCAAAACATTACACACGAGGCACGAATGCAAATGACCTTCGATGTGTAATGACGCTAAACCGAAGGAACCAAATCATGCTGTAACGAACGGCTCATGTAGGTAACTCCCAAAGAAAATCATATTTGCTTTTAATTCTTTCTTTCCTCTACTTGGAGACATAAGAGCGACCAAACTAAATATGATGCGGCCAATACATCAATAGGGATGTTATTAACTATCTCTTTACTGTGACTACATTTCCATCTCCTCGTTTGACATCGGCGTTAAGCAATCGCAAAAACGATACCCCTGCTTGCTCGAGAGAAGAATTGGCTTGTTGTACCCGAATTCATATGTTGTGAATAAGAGGCGACTAATGAGGGGTCTCGCAGTTCTGGAGGAGGGGGTGGGGGTAAAATAACGCATGATGCAACAATCTATGTGTTCTTTTCTTGCTTCCCTTTTTTTGTTTTAGTGAGTCTAGTATTAATATGGTCCTAGCTATTGCAAGGACGATGAAACTCAAACGGAAAGAAAAAAAAAACAGATGATGGCTGTTCTTTGTTTAGATGTTTTCTCAATTGTTCTTTTTATAATTTTGTATTCACTTTGAGTTTGATTTTTGTCCTAGTGTATCGACTTAATACACGCATACCCATTCTTATTTATTGAAAAGCGAAGACCAGCCCTGAAACAAAACATGCCACAAACCATTTACAGTATAACATTTGTTTTTATAACTTCAGCCAACAAGAGACTTCTTTTTTATGATAATATTACAGATCTCAAATATCTCTACAATTCTAACATACGTAAAACTGTTGATCTGTTCAAAAAGATATTAATGTCGGCGTTTGTTTTCAACCGTTTTGTTCGTTTGGTGTCATTTCTTGTTACATCTACGTTTAATTCGCACTAACGGCTTCCTTTTTGTGAAGGATGTACACCTTTTGAGAAGTAAAAAAAAATAAAAAAAGTTATTTGTCGGTGTGTTCGTTTTTGTGCTACGATCGGTCAAACATAACAATTTAACATGAAATGCGATTGTAGGTGATTTTTTGTTTTTGACCATTTGCGAAACAAATTCATACTATATCTTCCAAGTATGTTATCAGATACATGTATGTGAATTTGTTTGCAGAATTGCTGAAAACATTTTTTTCTCTGTTAAATTAGGGAAGTAAGATATCTTAGTCTGATGCTTTTAACTATGGAAAGCGATTTAAGTTTCCCTACCCCTTAGTTTTTAATGAAAAAAAACCCCATATTATTTCACAATTTTTGCAGATTTAACACTTGATATAAAAAAAATCTGCTATTAAACGTGTGGTTTTTTTAATGTTTATTGAATCCAAAGAAAATGTGTTTCTCTTTCTAAAACAGGTACCAAAATGAGATATGATGTCCGTGTGCTTCTTTTCTCCCATTAATATTTGTGTTATTTTCCACCATATCGGAGTCAAAAATCAAAAGTGATTCAGGTACAATGAACATGTAAAAATGCATACGAAAAATGTATAATTTTCCACTTAGAAAGTTGTGAAGTTGTAAAGCAAAACTGAAGTTGCTACATGTGGAAACAATGACAATTTAAGTGATCAATCTAGTGTCAAAACAAATGAAACTTTGGCCTTTCGTGAAGCACAAGAAACACACATTTTTAACATGTCCGCCGAATTGGTCATTTTATAAAAATCTTGTAAAAACAGTTTTTCAAACAAGAGGCATCTCGTTTAGAGACATTGAAATAGCAAAATGTGATTTACTGCCCTCATTTACAATTCTTAGGACCTGTCTTTTCTTTTCTCACTAATTTACTCAGACAGTAAACCCCATACAAACAAGCAAACCTCAAACTGATTATTATAATGCTACATGTATAGAACATATTTTCAATTGTTGGTAAATTATTTATATTCTCCCAAATGTTAATAGTTTCATCAACGATATTGAAAGATGTTTTCATGAAACACAAGGGAATCTCTGGTTTATTGTCTCCAAACGGGATATACATGTTTTTACGTAATTTTCAGTCAAAGTATTCAAATTGCCGCAAAGTCATTCCAAGAGGGTATCGTTCAGCACGCAAAATAACACAATACTTTTGTCTCGTGTGTTGAAATTATGTCGGCTATGAACGAAACGCGAGTATTGCTTGACATTTGCTAAATCTAAAATATGTTCCGGTGACCTATTAACAGCGCTGGTGATCTGAATAAGTACAATTTAAGTAATGTACGAAATCATAAAAAACCAGAATACGCAACCGATCATTTTACTGGGTGTCATGTTTTGTATCGTTAAGCGTTTCTTTATAATGTTATTGATTTTGGTATTGATATTTGGTTTTGTGTTGTCTTTATAAACAATGTTGATTTACCCTTATTTACTTAAAAGATGATTTACCTATAACTTTGCTGTATCTAAATTGGCTATAAGTGGTAAAAATAAATAAAAGTGAAACGGAAATATTTTATTTTAAAAGGATAGGAAACATACTTCATTTGAAGATAATATCAAGATTGTCGTTATCCAGAATGTTCTTAATATTTGACAAATAATGAGTCGATGGTATTGTAATTATATTTTTCTTTGAATGAGCATACAATTATATAATGATGAATACAAAATGAGGATGTACCTTATGTCGGTGTCAATTAGTAAACCTTGACTTCTGGCGTCTTCCACCGCTATGGTAAAGGCACTTGCGGTCCGTTGATACGACATGACATATGTCGACCTTGCTTTCATCCATATCATTCCAATGGTGACAGTAAGTCCATCTGTTTGACAACCGAGAAATACATAAAGCAGAAATATATTCATCAAATTTGATTTGATAACTTTCATGTTTTAGAAATATTTATCACTTCCGCACGTAATATTGTTCTTTATCATAAATTCAACGCACGTATGCACACTTCTGCTATGAAAGGAACATGATCAGGGAAAGCCAGGTAAAGGTAGTGGTTAACGGTATTGAATAGCTGCTAGGAGACAGAAGAAATTAATGGATAGATGTTGGATACTCTTTACAGTATTGATTGAGGGAGTGGTCAATGTATACACCAATCATATCACAGTGTTGTTGCATATCCTCACGGTGGAATATATTGACTAAATTGTTAAAATTAAATTGAGGATTTTGTGTTTATTTTCTCGAACTATATTTTTTGCTGGGAACGGTCGCATGTACTCGTGACGTCACAAGAACAGGTCCCATTAACAGACAGCGCTCACTTTGACTTTGAAATGCGATAACAGGTTGGAAATATAAGAACAATTTCAATTAAAAACGGAAAATAAGTATTTAGCTGCCTTCTTTGTATAGTTATTGTCCTATAATTCTCACAATATTGCAGACAAATTAATCATAATGTGCTAACGCGTGCAAATCATAGGACAATAACTTTCCAAAGAAGGCAGTTTAATGCTTAAATAGATAACAGAAAACCCTTAGTTTTAGTCACACAGTTACATTCACACTCCGAAGTGAGCTTATGTCAAGGTGCTGCGTCCGTCGTCTGTCCGTCCGTACGACGTCAACGATTTTGTCTCAATAACCAAAAGGCATAGGATGATTCAATTGGCCAGAAGCAATCTGGAATAAAGCGCTACCAAAATTGTTCAAATGAATGACCATGACCAACTTTAAAGGTCATTAGGTTAAAATATTTTAACATATTAACTTATTCTGAAAAGCAAAAGGCCAAGAATAATGATATTTGGCCAGTAGCATGCTGGGATGAAGGCCTTCAAATCTTGTTGAAATCATTGACCTTCATCCACTTTCAAGAATCTGTTACTTAAATAAACATTTATATTTACAATGAAGCTAGCTTATATTTCGTTAAAGTACTCTTTTAAAACATTCAATTATGTGTATCCATGTTTATAGTACATATCATTGGTGAATCTCGGTGGGGTGGGGTGGGGGCATCTGACACGACATACACCCATTGTGCACTAATGTTAACTTCAGTCTACAGTGCAAAAGCTTATGAACTCCGGTACACTGTAATTATTTCTTGTTTACTGCAGTGCACTAGGCTAAAACTTAAGGAATATATTTTGCAATTGCCAGACGATAGGTTAGGTGCTTAACATTTATCCTGAATCAATGGATTGTCCAGTTTAAGCGTTGCAGTACCATTTTGACTTTAAAGTGGATGTCTCTGAATATAAACAGTCGTGAATTATGTAAATCACGGGTATATAACTGGATAGATATAATCGTTTTAATAGTTAACTATTCAGATGTTAATCACGGGTATATAACTGGAAAGATATAATCGTTTTAATAAGAGCGTAGCTATCGGGCGCCGAAGGCGAAGCTCTTTAATGGTAACACATGCGTGCGTATACAGAGTTGCTTCCCCTTTCTACAATTTGCATTTATTTGTTTTGGTCCGGAAGTAGACGTCCAGTGGGGAAACAGGAAGTGTATCCTTGAAGCAAAGACAATTGTGTTTCAACCCATACATGAATATCTTCATATAGTGAAAGCAATCATTATGTTTTATTACTTGTTTATTTAGATAAAAAAAGTCATATACATTCTGAGTGAAAAAAGTTTACCACATAAAATGTGATACTAACAGGCATGAAACTTCGTTCAGAGGTTATCATACTATGACGTCACATGCATGTCACAATCCTTCGGCCTTCATCGGTTATTTCCGGAAGGATGAAAAATAACCGGAAAATTCTGGAACTGATGTCCGTTACATCTCTTTGTCGGTGCTACAAGCCTTTTTTTATTTCAGTTTTTTCCACAGGCACAAAAAGTAAAAATGCGGATATTTTCTGAAGACCTTTTTTGTCATCAACCCGGTTCTGTTGTTTTTTCTACCGGGAAATATCTTCAAAAAAAAAGATCATTTAAAATGTCATCAGCTTTTGATTTCCATTTGTTGAGAATATGAACGAAATAATTGGCATTTTTGAACGTCTGGAATTATTCCTTACATTATTTATGCATCACCACCCATAAAAGAAGCAATGGAAAATGCATTTATGACGAAATTAACAATAATTTTCCAGACAACCAACCCAAGTGCAACGCCCTTTTTCAGCAACGTATTACTTATTCACAGCGGGTGCCGATTTATAACTAGTTACAGACAAAAACCGTAATTTTATTTGGCATCATTACCTGTCAAACCTCGATGACAGTTACAAAATTTTAAATTAAATCCGGTGTTTCAGGATGGAACAGTAATTGAGACTACATATCCATATCGAGACAATTTCAGTTACATCAAAGTATTACAATGTTTTCTTTCTTCAATTTCATTTTTTAACTAACATCTCTATACATTTACTAATCGTCAAATATGTAATATGCACTTTTTTCTATAGTAATTACCAAACAGTTTTCCCCCAGCTTATCTCAATCATTCTTTTTGTGCCCTGACGGAATGGTGTAATTCTTAATATGAGAGGAAGCTGGAGTATCCGTAGAAAATCGCGTGGTCGGGCAGGTGACCGGGATTGAATCCGGCCACCTTGGTGAAGACGAGCACGCTATTCACTGCGCCACCGACCCACCATATACGTTACGCACAAGAACAAATATCTGCTTTAGCTTTGACTGGAAGAAAATGGCGTCATTGATGCAAAAATTATATTGTGAATATATTTTTACCAATCATCAATGATATAAAAAATCTACATACGGGAGACCGGGGCAAGTTCGGTCATCCCTGATATTTTTTGTTTTTGAGCTAATATTTACAAGTTTAAGGATCTTAGCAGTTTAGTTGGTTGGGCATTCAACGACGAAAAAATGGCGAGGAAAACTCTAATAAAGGATTGGTTGTCATATTTTTGACGTTTATTGGCGTGTAAACTACATCGGGCTTGCGATATATTGAATGGTGCGCGTTAGCGCACCATGTTAAATATATCGCAAGCCCGATGTAGTTTACACGCCAATAAACGTCAAAAATATGACAACCAATCCTTTATTAGAGTTTTCCTCGCCATTTTTTCGTCGTTGAATGCCCAACCAACTAAACTGCTAAGATCCTTAAACTTGTAAATATTAGCTCAAAAACAAAAAATATCAGGGATGACCGAACTTGCCCCGGTCTCCCGTATGTAGATTTTTTATATCATTGATGATTGGTAAAAATATATTCACAATATAATTTTTGCATCAATGACGCCATTTTCTTCCAGTCAAAGCTAAAGCAGATATTTGTTCTTGTGCGTAACGTATATGGTGGGTCGGTGGCGCAGTNGCCACTTGGCGGTAATTAGGTCAGAGATCAGCTGGCGGAGGCGGCCATTATTGAAAGTTTTGAGGCGGCTGACACAAGTTTTCACTGTTTACCGAAGGTAAATGAACATCCATGAAAGGTAGAATTACTCAAGAAACCTGACGTGAATGAAGACGAATTAGACTGATATGCAGAAGATGGAGTAGACAAGTGTGATGCTGTGCTTTCTGTTAAAACTGTGGTGGGCATGACTGTGTTTTCCGTTGAAGCTGTGGTACACGTGTTGGTCACGGCCGGAACGATAGAAAGTGGGCCATTTTCGGAGACCGGAGACCATTGTTTCTTACCATTTCATAACATTCTATTTCTATTTTCTACTGTTTTTGTATTTTTCCTTTTTATTTATAGTGTACGTTTTAAAATTCTCACTGAAACGCGAGTCATTTCGCCCATAAAAGTAGTTCTGGCAAACAAATTATGTATCACTACACTGACCTAATCCCCGTTGTAGTTAATTGGAAAATATGTTACAATGGGACCAGTACAGTTATCTAGGCACTATGCAGTGCAAATGTAAATATTGTAAAATGACTTAACAGGAGAAAAATTACCTTGAGAGGGTGAAATGAAAATCATGATCTCGCTTCTAGTTATGCGAACTTTTTGAAACGGAATTGCTACTTTTTTACAGTCAAACGTGTAAGACACTGACAGCTTCAAATGATAATACATAAAAGCCAAGTCAATCATTCACTACCATATTGCTGAACGATAAGAATTTATTATCAATTTGTGCCCGGACAGTTTCGGCCAATGATACCGTCGCAAGTTCGGCCCATGTAACACATAAACATTCGTAGAATTTGCGGTAAAATCTGACGTTGCATGCTTTATGACGTCATAATTAAGCTGATTCCAATGGGGGCCGAATTTATGGCCATCCGATCTTCCGACAGGATAGTTAAATAATATTCAAAAACGGACGTGCTGCCATACTTACTAGAACAGACTTAAATAACAAAAAAGACCGAACTTGCCCATGTCTCCCTTTTGTTATATCGGTCTTAATCTCATTAGAGCTTGTGTTTTATTGTTATTCCTCGACTACCCGACTTTAAATAAAGTTTATCTTATCTCATTCTGAAAGTTGTATTCTTAATCAGTAAATATCAGAGATCAACAAAAGCTTCGCTCTTTTAAGACTTTGCCTTTTCATATTAGGTAACTATTCAGATGTTAATCACGGGTATATAACTGGATAGGTATAATCGTTTTAATAGGTAACTATTCATATGTTAATCATGGGTATATAACTGGATAGGATAATCGTTTAATAGATTAACTATTCAGATGTTAATTAAGCGCCCATCAATCGGAGTCACCATTCTGAAATCTGCACGCCATTGGTTTGTCCCATTAACCCCGACTTGACATGACAAGTGCGTGTTAAATATTGTCAATTATCACTTAGTAAAATCGCTAGTGTCAACTGAAGTAAGGAAGCTGATCTTCCCTGTAAAGATGTATTGTTTGATGCGCCGTTGATGGCACCAACATATTTGCTTCCGTAATAAGTCAGTATATTTCTATTAGTCATCGCTATTCCTCTCCTACAACAGTCATGCAATATAAGAAAAAGCATGTTTTCGAAGACAAAACACTCTTGTAAGCTCTTTAAAATGATAATAAAGACATAATGCTAGGAAGTTGTATTCCAAATCGCATAAGACTAATAGGGGAATCTCAACCCGAGGGGGTATTCTTAAGTTGCCAAACACAAGGCTTCACCCATTGTGTTTTAAACAATAATGTTATGTTAACGTTACAGGCTATATTCAGGGTTGACGTGCCGTTGATGGATTGTTGACGTGACGTCATACCATTGTAATACATAGGGGAATAACACATACATTACACACATGGATATACGTCCTTAAAGGATGAATGTAACACAAACACACACACACACACACACACACACACATACATACACTAACACATACATAGGTGATGGCCCCTTCAAAATGTAGTATTCGATACAGTGTACCAAAAATAAATAACACTTCACCATACAGCTGTTTCGTCATGCTAGGAGTCATCGGTGATGATATAAACCGGGATAATTTGAAAATCCAAACAAGTCTTAACTACTGTAGAAACAGAAGGAGAGGTGCAAAAATTAAAATCAAAAGAACAAAGGCTACTGATAAACTTATAAATTAATTATTTAAGAGTGTATATAATGAACCACGCCACTCCTAAACAGAGACTACTGTGGCCATCAAGGTTACGACAAACCTCGGAGAATCGTAAATCCACCAGCAGTCTACCACTTTGTGCATGTATCTTGAAAGATGAATGTAACTAACACACAAACAGGTGATTTCACCTTTAAAATTGAGTAATCGATACAGTATGCCAAAAATCAATAACACTGCATCAAATAACATCAACTGTTAACGGGACAATAAACCGTATTAAACGACTAGTTTAGGAAAACAGACACTGAAGGGAAAAAGGGAAAACATCGTGTCGACTGGGAGCCTATGTGTGAAAACGAAAAGAATGAAAAGAAACTGATCCAGGTTTATATGAAGCAGATAACGGAGTCTTGCGTGTCCAGTATAAATATCGGATGAAAATGCTTTGTATAACAATGTTCAAGTTTTATATAGATGCTTGTTACTTTGACATTTGTAACAGCTCCGTACGCTGTCACGGATACATCTATACCTGTACATGTATTACAGTGCTGTTTGGAGTTTGGAAGTTGTGTATTGAACGCATGCTTTATTTTTTTTCCAAAACCCGGAATCTGATGTCCGGGGAAAACAAGAAATAAGAAGTAAGAAACAAGGAAAACATCCTAGTCAATACTTAAATACCTAGCCAAGTCCTTTAATTTTACATTAAGATATTTCGACGATATGCTGTCTTTATCTGAATAACAAGAAATGTATAGACCATATAGATGGTACATACCCTCAAGAGCTTGAACTTAAGGACACGAAAGACTCTTGAACTTTAACCGCTTTCCTCGGTCTTTAATAACAACATTGACATCAGGGACGGCTCGCTCGCTACTAAGCTGTACGATAGCCTTCCTCTATCTACGGTTATGAATGTCGCAGTTGATTCGGTACTCATGAACTTGCTCCGAATATCATGACGTTCCTGATAGCTGTCGACAGTTGACGGACACAATTACGACACAGGGTTGATGAAGACTATTAATAAGTTGTATGGTCGTCATAAGGATCGCTCAGAGAAATATACTATTATTCTTTGATTGGAAGGTCGATTTTGTTTTTAATACTCACAAGGGTGCTCTTATTACAAAATGTATAGTACATTGTTTTGTTGAGAAATTACGGGCCCACATTTACTAAATTATAAATGCACAAAAACGCTTCATTCTTTTAAAAACAAACAATTTGAGTAGGGTTTGGTTCTCTTTCGGTAAAAACGTAAAAGCGCTGCTACTTAACTTATTTCCAGTAATAACAAAAAATACGTTTTAAGTTTCATGAATTACAATATTTTAAACCCGTGCCAATATAACTATCTGTAAACATCAGTAAAGAAGTAGCTTTCGTTATTCAAAAGCTTTTCCTTAGTGATGTTATACAATGTAGGTAGGTATTTTTTAATGTGAGTCCGGCACCAAAGAAAAAGCAGGAAACGATAAAAGATGGTTTCCGACCCTTTGGTGCTCGCTTAACAAGATTGAATTGTTCAGTATGTTTTTGCTCCCTGTCATAATTCGATGAGCTTACAAATGTTTTAGAACAAAGCAAAAATATGATATAACAATGGCGAGGAAATATTCCAGACATAAACAAAATCGGAAACATTTGGGTCACAAAAAAATGATAATGAGAAGCATGTCGTTAAAAATGGTTGGCCTTTGAAATGCTTGGTAAAGGAATTGGTACTCACCAGTAGATAAATCGTTCTGAAAACAACTTAATCCTAACAGGCCTAACAGAGGTGTAGCAGTGATCAAAACTAGGGAATTCTATATAGAACAGTAGTTTAGGGATAGTCGAAGGTATAACTAGGATTGAGGAAACCTTATACTAATCGAACAATTTCACTATTTCTGTTACTCTGACTGATGATTTAGCTGTTAATAAAATGTGCCCTTATTTTCTTAACCAAATAATGGGCTTTCAAATTCTAATCATGACTGTATAATGGTTTTTAGTGAAGTAATTACTTTCTACACCAACGCTACATTGGAATATGACATGTGCTTATTCAGTTTATTACATTGTGAAGTTATGTTCCTGGTCAAAAGCATGCGGCCTATTCAGAGAATATGGTGTCTAATGAGAAACTTCTTTAAAGAAAAACTGGAGATAAAATCCATTTAAATGTTTTGACTCACAAACTTTGTTTGGCAGTTCTTTAAATATACTTTTGTATTTGATATACAACCTATACACCTTCATGATAGAGAAAACCGGAAGTCGCGAGGGAAGTACATGAAATCCATCCCTTTGAGTTTAGACACTTCGCGGCAGACAAGCTAAGGTTATACATGATCAAAACAGTGTACGGCGAACGAATTATAACTAATTTCAGATATGATATACCAAAGGTAAATCTAATCATAGATTAAGTATAATTACTAACGTGTTGCCACAGAAGCATCACATTTTATGTTTGATCATTCGATCTTTTCATGCAATATTACACTTACATCCCGGTCTGAAATATTGATTGTCTCCGTGCATTGGTGTATATTATACATTGTGTTATCATAACACAGCGTTGTTCTTTGATCAATGTAACGTCGTTCGAGATTAAGGATCTCCATAGGCCTCTAATTGACGTATCATTTTTACAAAAATCAATGAAACTTGACGTAAATAAAGTAGTGCGATCTTAAATACGACATCCTTGCCTCCCATCCTGCATTTCAAATCAATAAGGCTACAGCTGCCAGTGTCCATGGGTTCACAGCAGTATAATGATAATTTTATCTTCTTAAACGCAAATGTAAATTTCATTTGAGAGTGCACGAGTGAAAAAGAAATATGAACCAATGATGTCGGTAGTTGGTCTTTGTTTCACAAAGTGGATGTTTACTATTCGGAATAGGATTCATCAGTTTGGTAGGAATAATAAAGGCTAATTTCATTTCAGTAATAATTACCATAACTTTAGTATGCATATACAATACCTACACCCATCTTTGTAGCCCAAAAAACAAAAGATTCAAATATCCCTACCTCCCTACCGTGACGTAACCCATATCTCGATGACAGAGCCACGGAGTGATCTCCCTTCCTCTTCCTTGTATGGCGCCTGCTGCCTGCTGGTGCCCGGAGCTTGCTCCATTTCAAATCTTTGTTTTGTCGGTTTGGTTCGAGTGTCAACTCAATTTTTTGCGCAGTTTGAGTGCCTTATACCCATCTGCCCTTGTTTATATAATTAATTATTGTTGAAAATTATTTTTGTGCCTTTTACGGCCGGTTATTTTACTCCACGTGCGCCGGTGGTGTGCCACGGTCCGCCATTATCGTGGGTTAATTTCCGACCTCTGTTTATTTCGGTGACGGTTGTTTGTTTCGGCAAACGTTATTTATTTTAACCGTTTTCTGATTTATATTACGGGTGAAATTCTTTCT